AAATATTTTTCTTTATCATAATTGATTTGTCATAAAAATTTAAAAAATTGTCAAATCTTCGCTGATCTCAGTATCAAAAAAATTTTATATTTTTGGGTACACTATACCTAATATCAAATATTAATTTCTTAAAAATATTTCAGATAAAAAAAATGAAGAAAATCACTTTCGGAAAAATAACTCTCGCCAAAAGTTCCGTAGCTGAGGAGGAGCCTCCAGAACTATCATCATCATCATCAGGTTTCGGAAGCTTCGGCAAACAAGAGTCTAAAGTGACAGAAATGAAAGAAATCCGCCCGGAAGACGACGCAGAAAATGAAGAGCTGCAGAAAGTAATGGGCATGAGCGGGTTCGGAAAGAAAGCTAAAACCTTCGACGTCCAAGAAATGATGGAGAACATAACCAAGACACTATCAAAGGCGCCTAAACCCGTTGAAAAGCCCTTAGAATCTTCAGACGACGAGGAACTAATCGGACCTTTGCCTCCTCCAGAGCCTGCTAAGCCATCCACATCTACCAAAAATTCTTCAGCCAAGGATTCTTCGGGCTCTGAAGACTACAGTTCAGACTCCGAGGACGAGGGATCACTCGCTGACAAAATCCCTTGCAGCCACGAAGTTTCCATGACTCACGGTGTAAAAGCTATCACCGCAATAGCAGCAGATCCATCTGGAGCCCGGCTGGCGTCCGGGTCAGTGGACTACGACGTAAGTTTCTGGGATTTCTCCGGCATGGATTCGTCACTTCGGAGCTTCCGAACCCTCCAGCCTTTTGAGAATCACCCAATCAAGTGTCTTCAGTACTCGATGACCGGAGATGTAATCCTAGTTGTCTCTGGAGCCGCTCAAGCGAAGGTTCTTGACCGCGACGGGTTCGAAAAATGCGAAACTGTGAAAGGGGACCAGTATATAACAGACATGGCGCGGACTAAAGGTCACACAGCAGGTCTAAATTGCGGAGCTTGGCACCCAACCACGAAAGAAGAATACCTGACCTGTTCCGAGGATGGAACTTGTAGAATCTGGATCCTCTATCGTTCTCGCGACCACAAAGAATTGATAAAATGTCGAGCCTCCAATGGTGTAAAAACAATTCCCACAACTTGTAGTTACAGTCGAGATGGCAGCGTCGTCGCTAGCGGGTGCATTGACGGTTCCATCCAGATGTGGGACTGCAGAAAAACTTTCATCAAACCGTCACTGCTTTTGCGCAATGCTCATCAAAGTGGCTCAGAAATCTCCAGTCTGAGTTTCTCTTACATCGGAAATCACCTCGCAACGCGTTCTTGCGATGACTCGCTCAAGCTGTGGGACCTGAGGGCGTTCAAGGAACCGATCTTCCAAGCGAACAACTTGTTCTCAAGGTACGACACCACGGACTGCATGTTCAGCCCCGACGACTCGATGGTCATCACCGGGGAGTCTCTAGCTAGAGGCCAGACTCACGGCAGGGTCTTGTTTTACGATGCCAAGACCTTTGATTTGGTTAATGAGATCAAGGTCACTGATTCTCATGTGATTAAGACACTCTGGCACCCCAAGTTGAACCAAATCTTCGTTGGCTGCGGGAACGGGATCGTTAAGACTTACTACGACGCCAAGAAGAGCATGAGGGGCGCGAAGCTATGTGTAGTAAAGACTAAGCACAAGAAGAACCACATTGAGATGATGTCCACCCAGCAGATCATCACTCCTCATGCTCTCCCGCTTTTCAGGCAAGATAGGCCCAAGTCTGTGAGGAAGCAGATGGAGAAAGACAGGATGGACCCTGTCAAGTCCAGGAGACCTGACCTGCCGATCACTTCCGGGCAAGGTGGAAGGGTTGCTTCTTCCGGAGCTACATTGAGTTCGCATGTTATAAGGAGCATTGGGCTGAGGAAGAAGGTTGAAGATGACCAGGATCCCCGGGAAGCGATTTTGAAGTATGCAAAAGAAGCTGAGGAAAATCCGTATTGGATTGCGCCGGCTTATAAAAAAACTCAGCCGGTTACGATATTTGCTGAGACAGAAACTGATGAACCTCCTAATAAGAAAAGTAAAAGTTAAGGTTTAGGTATGGAAAGTTTTATTAGTTAATTTAGAAATTTTAGCAATATGATTGTGGTTTTTGGAAGGAAAATTAACAAGTTTGTTTTTTAAAAAATTTTAATATAATTTTATGACACTGAAATTAGCAGATACTTGAAATTTATTTTTTTTTATTGATAAATATACTTGAAAATTATTTTAAAAAAATTGCATTTGTAATTTTTTAGAGGTTCTAAAGAAGAAATTTTTTAAATAAATTTTTGTTAGTATAATTTATCTATTAAAAAAATTATGGGAATTATTAGATTTCTATTAATTTCAGTATCATCTAATTTTATTGAATATTAATTTGTTATAATTGTAATTTTTTAGTTTCACGGTTAATGATAATTCAATCCATAAAAATATTGAGAATTTTTTTCTTAACAACTATATCTCTATTTTTTCTTAAGTTAATCAAAAATAGAATAATTTTTAATTATGACTCTACGATAAAATAGAAAAATTTAATAGAAAAAATGTTTCGATTTTTTATGCAAAAAAAGATGACCGTGAAAATAAAAAATTATCTAACGGAACTTATGAAACATTTGGTTAAAGTACATAATTCTTATCAGATTTGTATGAAACTCATCATACTTATTCTTTAGGAAATTTTTGAGGGCAAGTTTAAATAAAAAAGAGCAAAATTCATCGATTAGTTTAGAAATTATAATTGAAAAATTGAAAAAATTCTAAAAAATCACATTTCTGTAAGTTATTTTTCAAATAACTTTTGAGTCTAATAATTTATTGAATTTCATGACAATGAAATTGAAAGACACTTGAAAATTTTTCAATTTTTCTTGTTTGGCTTCTAAATTTTGAAAAATTTTTAAAATGTTGAAAAATTTAGCATCTAAATTATCAGATGTTTCTCAACTTCAGTATCAATGAGTTTCTTTAAATTTTACCTGAAAATTCATTAATTAAGTAGGCTTCAATTGTCATGTCATTTCATTCTAGACCGAAAATTCCCTACTCATCTATGAATATTTGATTGAAATTTCTAATTTTTTTTTAAAGATAACGAAAAATTTAGGTTTCTATTTTTTTAATTGATTATATTGCTAAAATTTTAGAATTAATTAACAAACAATTTTCTAAATTTCCTGTTGTAATACGACATAAGAAAATTGTTATTATTCTAAGTTTTATACTTAATAATTAGAACAACAAATGTACATAAAATTAAATTAATTAAATCTAGCTTATCACTTAATTTTAATAGATGATAGAAAAATTTATTTTTAATTTTTAGACCGCCAATATTTCAACAGAATTTAGTCGTCAGTCCATTAAGGTTCTGAAAAGTCATTGGCTAGAGAATTTATGAAAATGTGGGTAAAACATTAGGGAAAATAATTTCTGTTTTAAGTGAAAAATGAGTTGTCTAAACAGTTTGAATAATTATCGAGTTAGTTGCTAGGTATACTCAAAATAAATCGAATATCTGGTGGCTAAAAATAAAGATATTTGAATATGAAAGGGTTGTAAGGGCTAAAAATACTGAATGGGAAAAACATATGGCGCTGATATTAGTTATTTTTAGTTTTCACGCATTTAATTTTTTTTTTTTTTTTTGTATTTTCATTTATATTTACAAAAGTGTTTAATTTTTATAATAAATATAAATTAAAAAAAAATCAATTATAAGAGTGACATGTTAATAATTGCGATGGTCTTTTTGTAAAAATAAAACATTCAATAATTTACTATTGAAATTTATGTAAAATATTCATAAAATTTTTTTTTATAAATAAGTTATATAAAAAGAAAAAAACTTAAAAACTGTTCATGTAAAAAATTATAATAAATTTTTTAGTAAGTTATTAAATAAAAATTACAGTTTTCTTTTTAAAAACAATTTTTTTAATAATTACAATTATTTTTAATGAGTAAAATAATTTTTAGATTAATTTTAATTTTATAATTTTGTTAAAAACTTGAAAAAATTATTTTAATTTTTGTGATAAATTTTAGAAAGAAAATTTTCAATAATTATAATTTAATTATCAAAATTATTTAATTTTGAAAAATAAATTAGACCTAGAAAAATATTAATACAAAATTGCATTTATAATTTTTTAGAACTTCTAAAGATAGAATTTTTAAATAAATTTTTTTAGTCAATTTATTTGTTAAAAAAATTTTAAAAATTATCAGATGTCTCGCAAAAATTATTTTAAATTTGTAAATAAATAATTTTTTAATTAATTAAAATTTTATAAATCTATAAAAGAAAAAATTCAAATCTTCCCGGTAAAAAAGTAAAAAATATTGATTTTTAAAAAAACAGCTGCGCTCCCGCCCTCTACAAATGAAATGGCCCCCTACAACGTACTCTTCTCACTTGCCTAAAAAAAGAAACAAGCTGACAAGCACGATTAACGACAGCGACACACACGAATAAGTCGGGGGAGGTAGTATCCGTACTACTAACTGTGATTTGTGTGTTACACATTAGAGAAAAAAACATAAAACTACCTCCTAGTCAACAAAAAAAGATAAAACCCTCCAGCATAATATCCTCGACGGCTTCCAGATTAAACTTTTAAAGCTGGTGTGTGAAGGTAAAAGGTGCAGTGTTTACTCCAGTGACTCAATCCATTATCAAGAAAAAATTTCTAATGTTATCTGGTCATTAGCCGTCATTAAAAAATCGTTTCATACATTAACAAAAAAAAAACGCAACGCAGCATTTAAATGTCCATTTAAAAAAAAAAAACTCCTCATCTGACACATCTACTAAATTTTAAAATAAAATTCTAAATAAATTTTTTAATATTGAAATTTCATTTGTAAGTGATTTTACAATTAAATAAAATTATTTTTTCAGATAATAAATATACTGTTGCGAAAAAACGTTTGATTTGACGTTAATAAAAAAGTGTAATGACTTTGAGGTTAAATTTTTAAAAAGTGTTAACAATAATGTATCACCACGAGTACGAGAAGCGTTTGTTGAAGCCAACGGACATCAGCAATCACCAGAACACCAACGTGATCAACAACGCTCAGAAGAAGCCCTCGATCATCACCTCCAACAGCATTAACATGTCCCCGTCCTCTACTTATATTTCGCCGTCAAAGTCCACCACCAGCTATGATCGTTTCATTCCAATGCGTTCAGGTAATTGGAGTTTCTTAATAAATTTATAAATTTTATTTCTTCCGAAAGTTGCAGAAATAATATATTATTTTTGATAAAAAAAGTTTTCAATAACTATAACAAAATATTTAAAAATTTTCATAGAAATTTTTTATTTTATGTATCAAATTTTAAATAGTTTATTCGTTTAAATAAAAAAATTATCAGATATTGACTGTTTTAAATTTTTATTCATTAATGTATAATGGAGTAATGTAAATATAACTTTTTATGTAAATAATGATACTGAAATTAGCATCTGGTGATTTTTAGGACTTTTTAGCAGACAAATTATAATTTTTTAAAATAATTCGTAATATGGTAATTTAGAAAAGACTATGATTAAATTTTTTTTAATATTTTTTTAGTACTAATTTATTTTTTAAATAAAATAAAAAAGCTGTCGGGTGTCTGCTGACTAAAATTGTATTCTGCCCCTATTTCAGGCATGTGTATTAAATCGATTTTTGAAAACTAAATAATCATGCTGACTTGTCACAGTTTTTAAATTATTTCACTAAAACGAAACATTAATATTTTATTAGGGTAATTAGGTCGTCGGTTATTTAGTAATAAGTTACTGTGTCGCAATACTATTATTTTTAATTTTTTGTCATGTTGCGCTGATTGAAATTTTTTTCGGGTTGAAAACAATAATTGTTTAGTTTCATGGTAGCATATTTTTTTTTTTCATAAAAAAAATCAAAAAATTAATATTTAATAAATAAAAATTAAAAAAATATGTAATTTTTCAATAAAAAATTTCAATATCATTTTTAGACTCTAAAATATTTTAGACCGTGAAACTAAACAATAACCTCGAAAAAAAATTGTATTATAAAAGTTATTATTTTTTTTATCATTAAAAATTGAAATATTTAAAATTATAATTCTGTAATTATAACGATTAATTTTTTATCTTTAAAAATTGAAAAACATTTAAAATAATTATTCAAAACTTGATAAAAAAGATTAAAATATAAAAATTAAAATTTATAAAATAATAATTCAAAACAACTAAAATATTTCATACTAAAAAAAAAAAAAAAAAAAAAAATTATAAATTCCTATCTAATAACTACATTACTAATTAAATCTCCCATCTCGCAGGTAACAACTGGCATACGACCTTCTCAATGATATCCGAGTCCTCCCGAAACAGCTTGATCAACAAGAAAAGTACACGAGAAAACGGGGAAGGAAACCGTGATGGCATAGCGTACTCATCTCTTTTAAAAAACGAGCTCCTTGGAGCGAGTATCGAAGACGTCAAAAACCAAACAGAGGAGCGAGGAAACTACTCCTCTTCAATCCTCCAGGGCAAGAACCTCTTTAAGTACTCAACGCCTACAAAAGAACGTACCCTGGACAGCAGTTCACCGTACTCACTCTCCCCCTTGAGCGCAAAGAGCCAAAAATTGCTTCGGTCCCCCCGCAAGACCACCAGAAAAATCTCCCGGATCCCCTTCAAGGTTCTTGACGCTCCGGAGTTACAGGACGACTTCTACCTGAACCTGGTCGACTGGTCCTCGCAAAATGTGCTAAGTGTCGGTCTAGGAAGTTGCGTTTACCTCTGGTCAGCCTGCACTAGCCAAGTGACCCGGCTCTGCGACCTGTCCGGAGATGGAAACAGCGTCACCTCAGTCGCCTGGAACGAAAGAGGAAACTTAGTGGCAGTAGGGACCAACAGTGGGTACATCCAGGTCTGGGACGTCGCTGTCAACAAGCAGGTAGCTAAACTCCAAGGACACAGCGCTCGGGTGGGAGCTCTGGCCTGGAATGGTGAAATTCTCTCTTCTGGAAGTCGCGATAGATTAATTTTGCAGCGAGACGTCAGGACTCCTTGTGTTGTAAGCGAACGAAGACTGGGAGCTCATCGCCAGGAGGTCTGTGGCCTGAAGTGGTCCCCAGACAACCAGTACTTGGCCTCCGGGGGTAACGACAACAGACTCTACGTTTGGAATCTTCATTCTCTGACTCCGGTTCAAACTTACACAGAACACCTGGCCGCGGTGAAGGCCATCGCCTGGTCTCCGCACCATCACGGGCTCCTGGCTTCCGGGGGAGGAACTGCTGACAGATGCATCAGGTTCTGGAACACATTGACTGGCCAGCCGATGCAGTGTGTGGACACTGGTAGCCAGGTCTGCAATCTAGCCTGGAGTAAACACAGCTCCGAGCTGGTCAGCACTCACGGGTACTCACAGAATCAGATACTCGTGTGGAAGTACCCCAGCTTGACTCAGGTCGCCAAACTCACTGGACACTCCTACCGTGTGCTTTACTTGGCGATGAGTCCCGATGGAGAAGCTATTGTTACTGGGGCTGGAGACGAGACTCTCAGATTCTGGAATGTCTTCAGCAAAGCTAGAAGTCAGAAGGAAAATAAATCCGGGCTTAATTTGTTTACTAGTATCCGATAGATATTTTTGTATTTTTTTTTTCTTTTTTCGTTTGTATATATTTATTAATATATAATATTTTATTGTTAAGGGGTTGTTTTTTCTTTGGTGTAAGCGCGAGATTTTTATTTTACACTGCAATCTTTTTTTTTTTTTTCATTGTAAGTGCTGCTGAGCCTGCAATCCGAGTGTTTGTGCAATAAGTAAGTTTTTTAAGCTTTTGCTGATTGGTTTGGGTGAGAATTCGTCACCAGGTTTCTTTTGGGTGGAAATATTTCGTAGAATAATATTTTTTTTTTTTTTTTTTTTTTTTTTTTATAACAGGTATTATTTTATTTGAAATTTTTGTATGAAAAAAATTGCTGGAAAATTACTTATTAATTTAATAATTAATACTGAAATTATTTTTCCTTGAAAGAAGATATATAAATTGTAATTTTTTCTATTTGATTTATTTAATCAACTTATACTAAAAATATGTAATTTTTTACTTAATTTATAGGTAAAATCTGGGAGTTGATTAAAACTTTTCATTAAAATGATTATTATTTTATTGAATATTTTTATCGAATATTCTTATATTAAAAAAGAAGTTAAAAAATTACAATTTGAAAAAATTAGTACTGAAAATTATTTTTGATTTCTTCTTAAAAAGAAAAAAGTTACAATTGTAATTTTTTTTGTAAGCAAATTGGATTAAGTTAATGTAATTTTTCAACTATTTTCGGGGAGTTGATTAAAATTTTCTTGCTTAATATCGCATTACATGTACTATAAAAGCTTAATTTAACAAAAATTAAATTCAAGTAATTATTAAATCAATTGTTCAAACTATGGTTTGGAAAATATCTAAAAAAGAAAATTTGAATTGAATTATATTGATGTTTATTTAAAAATTTGAGTTTTTAGAAATATTTGAAAAATTAAATAATTAAAATGAAATTATAATCTTATTGATTTTTCAGTTTTGATAATTATTTTCTGGGCAGATACAATGCATTATAATCAATTTAAAAAATTGAAAGCTAAATAGAAGTGTAAAAAAATTATCTTTTAAAAGCGTACTAAATTTTATCGTATTGAAACGAATCTCGAAAAAAATTTCCAGGTCATTCCAAGTGTGTAAATTGATTACCTGAATTTTTTACATGGGCCCAGAAATGATTTTTCATTAAAAATTCTTGAATGAATTCTATTAAAAAAAAATAAAAATTTTTTAAAGTTTGCTTTCCAGAAGGTAATTTATAAAATTTATAAAATAACTTTCATATAATGTAAAAAGTTTTGAAAAAGGGCCTAATTTAAAAGTCAGATGTAAGGATAAAATTTTCTACACTGATAGAGAGACCCATTACCTGGATATCCAGTGGAGTCTCTTATCTCGGCGCTAGATTTCTGTTAAATGTTTTTGGTCCTTAAAATTTAAAAGAAAATCGTCACCAATCTTTTGACCGATCGTAAATTAAAAATACTTATGATAATTTTTTTGTCGAAAACTTGGCAGGCTACTCAGTGATTGATATTGATTATAGTGTATTGTCAAATAATAATAATAATTTATAAAAAAATTCAACCGAATTATCAATCAGAAAAAAATGTAAACTTGAAGAAAATTAATTTATTTAAAATTTTCTTCAGTTGAATTAATTTTAAGTAAATAAAAAAAATATATATATAAGTAGTCACTATTGTTTGAAATTCGATTTTTATGCAGGCAAGTCAATGACTTGAGAAAAAAATGAATTGAAATAATTATAAAAAAATATATTATATATAAATATACAAATAAGGTAAATGAATTATAAAAAAAGAAAAAAAATATTAACTAATATAAAGGCTGTTTATATTGCTACAAAGTCAACAATTTTTTTTAATCATAAGGTAGCATTGTAATTAAATATTTTTAGATATTTTATTAATTATCAAACATGTGTTTGATTGATTAGTAGATATTATAGTAATTTTCAATTATCGAATTCGAAGTAACTTTTTATTTTAAGTTAAATATAAAAATAATTACTAAACGTCATTTTTGTACAAATATTAAAATTATTAATATAGACAAATATGGGTTTAGGGTTTGAGAAATATAAATATTTTAAAATAAAAAAGCCGGTAAAAATATATACCTAATTTTTTTTTCAATAAAATTGAAATAAAATCATTTTTTTTTTTTACTTAAAAAATTATTTTCTATTTTTTTTTGTTAATTGTTTAAAAAAAATATTTTTTATTTATTTAGTGTGAAACGTTAAATTACTAAATAGGAAAAATAATTCAATTGATCATGTCTATAATTTTTTGTTCGATTAATTATATAAATATAATTATCAATTAATTAATTTAATTATAAGAATGTTTGATAGAAATAAAATAAATAAAAAATTAATAAATCGTTTCTATTAACCCATTGTTAAACCTTTAGGTTCATATATTTATAAATTTCAGGGTGAATTTTAGAACTCCAAAAAAAGTTTGTATTGAAAAATTTATTCACTCATTGTAACTAAAATTACATTACAAAAAGTATTGACCGTAAGACAAAAGAATTTCGGTGTATTTACAATGTGAAAGAATTCCAGAGTTCTTATGAAAAAAAAAAAAAAAAGAATAATTTTTATCCTTAATAATAAAAAAAAAATATATAATATAGTTAATTAATTATAATCAATATATTTATCAGAAATAAAATTATGAATCTTCAGATTGTGATTTTTTCTTCTTTTTCTTTTTCTTTTCACTCGTTGGCGTTGGAACTTCTTCTTCGACTTCTTGTTTCACTTCAGGCACTTCTTCGCTCGGTTCAGATTTCTTCTTCTTCTTCTTTTTCTTTTCTGTAATTATAAATTAAAAAAAAATTAGTCATTCCAATAATAATAATAATCCTGTTCCACTTGTAATTTTTCTAATTAAAATCTTCCCATACAAAATAACTAGACCGGAAAACCCCAAAGGAACTTTATGCTGAATTATGAACTTTAAAATTTTAACCGGAAAAGAAATTTTAAAATAATTTGACGGTTTTTAAAAATAATTTCAGACCAAAAAAATTACCTTTAGATTCCTCAGCAGGTTCTTCAGCAACTTCCATGCTTTCTTCTTCTGTCTTATTTTTCTTCTTTTTCTTCATTTCTAAAAAAAAAAAAAAAAAAAAAAAAAAAAAAATAATAAAATAAGTGAAAAAAAAACTTCTCAACTGCAAGCAAAATTAAAATCTTCCGTAAAAATTACCTTTAGTTTCTTCTTCTTCTTCTTCTTCTTCCTCCACCTTAACCTGAACTCCCTCCTTATTTTTCTTCTTCTTCTTCTTTTTCTTCTCTGATCCATCAGAAGCTCCAGCCTCTGCTTCAGGCTCAACCTGAGCTTTAGTTTCTTCCTCCAATTTCTTCTCCTTCTTCTTCTTCTTCTTAGGCACTTCTTCCTCGGGCTCAGTCTTAATTTCTTCAATCAAAACCGAGCTTTCATCATGGGTCCGTTTTTTACCGACAACAACATCAGCAGCAGCTGGATATTGCATCACCTCGCTCTTGCTGTGATATTTTTCAAACTTGGCCTTAGCTTTGGCAGTACCACTGATCCTCTTGATGCTTCCTTCCTCAAGCATCCTCAACCTCAACTCCAGCTTGGCTCTGTGCTCCATTCCCAGCTTGAATCCAGCATCATCTTCGCCCAAAGCATCCAGACGGGTGGCCAAAGAGGCCTTGTTCGCCAGCATACGGGACATCTTACCCTTCAGTTTGGTCGAGGACTGTCCAATAAGCTGAGCGTGATAAATGAGACCGTACTTGGGGGTGTCTTTTTTGGTCTTGAGCGCTCGGAAGAGCGCTTTTTCAGCACCACGGATCTGCAATGTAGAAGACGGGTCCTTTGCCAAATTTATCAAGGAACCTGCGGAAGCAATTAATCTGGCACCAACCAGCTCTCCAACTAAGACAGTTAGGTTCGGAGCCATCGCCATCATTCGTGCCTGCAAGTACTCATACAAAGTAGCGCGGTACTGCGAAATTTCAATCACCTGGTCACACAGATGCTGGATGTTCAAGATATCATCATCGGAAATTTCCGTTCCCATGGAAATTTCAGCAACTTCTTTGACCTTCTCCTCGATGTCTTCTGACAGGATTTCTGACAAGTCTGATCCGGATGTGTTGTCACGCGTACCCACGCATTTCACTGTCTTAACAAACGCCAGGTTGTCGGTGATGATTTTACCCAGCTCAGGAAAGTGCCAGCCGTACCACTCTCGGACTCGCATTATGTAGTTGTTCAGCTCCTTGTCGAGCTCGTCAAGCAAACCCACGGCTTGGACGATCATGGTGTCGATTTTGTCAGGCGAGAACTTCAGCTTGTAACGTGAGAGACTGTGAGCGAGACCAAGGGCCATGGCTGTCATTTCGCGCTTTGGCAGACCTGCGAGCAGAGCATCCGTTTGGCTCCTGATGCATCGCATCAGCTCCTGAATTGATGTGTTGCTCACACATGATAGGTTTAGTTTTTCTTTTATGGCGCTTCCGAGCTTAGCGTCAGCTACGGCTAGAGAATCTTGCACGTCTCCGAAGTGCTTTTTTAGAGTTTTTTTAAGGGTTTTGCTGAGCTTTCCTTCTACTGCTGCGGTTGTCGCTTCCAGAGCTTCTGTTGTGTCGGCAAACTTTTGGAAGTGCTTCAATTTCAAACTGGAAAATTCGTTTTAGTTAGTTATTGATGATTTTGTAAAGAATCATTTTTTTTCTAAGTTAAAAAGAGTGATAATAAACTTTTAGTTTAGTTTAATTGAAGATATAAAATAAAACTAAAACTAATTATTGTTATTATTATTAATAAATATTTAAAATGTAAAATTTTTAATTATTTATCACCGAAGTGAAAAAAAAAGAGAAAGATAAATGTAACATGGTACACAGACATAATATAATTGATTAATTATAGAAAGCTTCAAATACAAAGTAGAAATAGTGAATGCCAAAAATTATTGTTGCGATAGGCATAAGAGTATGAGTGAATAACAGAGAGATATTATTATTAATTATTATTATAAAGAAAAATCTTTGTAAAACACATTTATGTGATACAAATAGAACCTATTTATTATTATTATTATTTTTTAATTATTTATCTTTTAGTACAAAATTCAACAATTAAAAAAAAAAATTGAATTGAGAAATATTATTGACAAGTTATGAAAATTTGTATTCGAAGAATTAAAAAAAATTCTTTAGTGATTACAATTTTTTTTTTTTGTTACGAAAACTAAATTAGTTGACATGTAAAAATTTTCAGAAATTTTTTCATTAAAAATATCATATAAAATTATAAAAAAAACTCAGATGTAAAAATTAAAAAAACTGCAGGTGCAATTTTTTTTCAATAATTTTTTTTTTATTATTTAATTAATTAAAAATTACTAAATATCCGTTCATTTTGGTACCATGTTTTGCTTATAAAAAAAATAAAAAATTTAGTAATAAACAAATTTCTATAATACCAAATATCTTTTATTTATAATTTTTTACCAGTTACTTATTAAATAAATTTGCGAATAAAGTAAGACTTTTGTAAAATTTTACAATAAAAATTTTTTCTCGTTCAATTAAAAAATTTATGGGAGTAAAAAGTAGAAAAATAAAATTTGTTGAATTTTATAATTTTAAATTAATTAAGCAAAGAAAAACTTACATTTTAGTCGCAGCTTCTGGAGTTTCAAAATCCCGATACAAATTATCTGTTTTCTCCAATTTGTTTTCGTCGAGTAGCTAAACAAAAAAATTAAAAAAATTAGTAAGAGAATAAACAAAAAAAATTAATTTTATAAATAGTATTTATAATTGTTAAAAAACACTGGATGCTTCTGAAAATTCTAAACACGTGTCTGTTTATAGGTTAGTGCAGGTAAAAAAATAAATAATAATAAAAAAAGCAATTACCTTGAAAATAGCGTATCCCGCCGGAGTTTCGAATAAAACCAACATTGTAAAATACTTTTATTGTCAATTTCACCAGTAATTAAATGTAATATTCGTATAAAATCTTATTTATAAAAAAGTAATTGCCTGACCACGCGATATTGATGCGTGTTCGCTGCGAATGCTTTGATTGCTTTGTGCCGGTAAGTCTTTTTAAATAAAGATGGCGTTCTTACTACGTAGATCAGTACACGGGGTATTTTTCAGAAAAGTAATTTATAAAAGAAAAGAATAATTTCAGAAAAATAAATTAAATTTTGTAATTTAATTTTAATAATTTAAATTAGTTGTATTATTTGCAATATTTTTTTATAAAGTGAAATTATTATAGTGCGCTGAATGCCAAGCGGGAAAAATGAAGATTTTTGAATTTATATTATAATTAAATAATTATAAGTAATTGTGCATAAAAATTATGATTATATGAAATTCCATAGAATTTAATTTCTCTAAGAAAAAAAAAAAAAAAAAAATTTTTTTTAGAAAAATTCAAATGAAGAAAAATTAATCATTGCATATTATGTCAGAAAATTATTAGATATTTAAAAATTTTTAAATCGTTAATAAATTGTATTGTTTATAAAACATAATCTCAAAAAACTTCATTTTTATATAAAGAAATGCTTCAAATTAAGTTCAAACTTTACTCATAATTACTGGAAAATTTTCTATACAAATTTACAGAACTTGAAATTTAATATTTGTAAAGCTACTCTTGCCAAATAATATTTTTTTGTATCTTATTTAACGTAATAAATAAATTGCTTAACAAATATTGTAAACTGCAATATACATATAAGATGATGAAGAAATTTATTTATTTATTTATTTATTTATTGAAATTCTTCTCGATAATTTTATTAAGATAATAATAAATAAACAAGATGATAGCAAAAAAACAGTAACAATTCCCAGAATAATAATCAATTTAAAATCGATTTTTTAGCTTCCTTTTCACATTTTTCTAAAGACGCTGCAAAAAAATCAACGTCTGAGGCACTTTTATTAATAAGTGCAATCGGAAAATCCAATATCCAAATGTTACCCAATATTTCGATTTTTAAGCTATGCAATTTTACATAATTTTGTAATTCTTAATTTTTACTTAACTTTATAAAGCGCGTACTGTGATACAAATAAATCATTATTAAATTACATAGTAAAATTTGAATAATTTCAAGTCTGTAAATTTGTAATAAAAATACTGAAGAAAATATAAATATATATTGTACACAAAGATGGTTACATTTTAAGTATTTATTACTTCTTCATTGTGTGCTCAATCAATAGGTTTCAAGATGATTAAAAATTGTATGATACCATCGAACAACACGCAATTTGCAGTGTTAACATTGCACCAAGCACTCATCATGATAGCAACCGACATTCCCCAACAACTGTCACAGTCATTATAACGACGTGAAACAGTATAAGTTAATCCGAATTTCCTTCTGCGTTAATCCAAAAAAGAAGAAATTAATTAAACAATCAAGTGCGCGTGTAATATGACGATGCGTAATTTGAGTTCTGTTTCCAAGCGAATTTTTATGGTGTTGCAGTATATTATATTCAAATTAATTGGATTGTCACCTTGGACAATTGATGTTACTGAGCTGTTCAATAATAACAGGCGTATGATTAATTACAATAGTGATTTTTTAAAATATTCGATCATTGGTGTCGTGTATAATTTGTTGTTAATTATTTCTCTCGGTTCATTTCATATTTATGTTTTATTTTATTCGAATGAAGTAGGATTTTATGAGATGTTTATAGATTCAGTTCTCACATCTCGCGTTCATTTAGTTATGTTAAATCTCGACATAATAATAACGTTAGTAATTTGGTTCAATTACATCGTACGACAAAAAAAAATAATTGATGTGGTTGAACGCTTGATAAAATTGGACAAAAAATTACAAAAATACGATTTCATACTCAATGATTGTAAAAAAAATTGCCGTACTTATCTCATATTTTTTATAAATTTTGTTCTTTGTCTTTTTTTATTGATTATTCAATTAAAAAAAGTAAATTGGTCAATAAATGCGCTTATTGAATTTATACCAATTGTAGTAATGAGCTGGTCGATGATGCAATTCACACTGATGATAAATCTGATTAAAAAGCGTTTTGAAAAGGTCAACAAGTTACTTTTAAGTTTGGGTAATTTGGTAGAGACTGAAGAAGAATTATTGACAATAGATGATGTCTTCTCTCTAAAGGAACCAGCTCCTAAAAAAATAATTGTCGGATCGATTGTTCATGATGTTGATGAAATTAATGACATGCACAGTGAGTTGTGTGATTTGTGGTCTGAAGTACTTAATTTTTATGGAATTCCTGTCTTACTAACAATTTATCAGTTTTGTGGAAAATGTATAAATACTTCGTATTTGGTTTGGGTGAGAATTTACATTAAAAAAAATCTAAAACTTAAAAATTTATCTTATTGGCGGCGGGTTTCAAAGATTATCTCCCACATTTATAGAATTTATGGAAGCGCTATATTCTCAAATCTTTTCATCATTTTTGGATTATTTGTAATGATCAACACTGTCACGAAAACAATAATCGATGAGGTAACCTATAAATTTACAAATCAGGAATTTCGTGCTTTTTCTTGTACTAATCTATGCTTAAATTCTCATTTAGAGTAAGAAGACGGCACGTAACATTCACGTTCTTCAAAATAAATGCATAATGGACGAAAAAAATTTGGAAAAAGTAAGTATAATTAATTGTTTATTTCAACCCGAGAAATAATTTTTTATACATATTCATAGATAATTATATATGAGTCGATTGTATGTAATTATATATAGCTAATTTTATTTTATATATTTGAATAAGAAAAAAAAACTAGATTTATATTAGAATTTCATGAAATTATTCTAAATTTTGTGAAGCTTCACAAACGCAGTACTTTTTCATTCGATTATTGATTTTGCCTACTGTTTGTTGTTAAATTCTATTGATTGTTAATAAATAAATAAAATCCAGTATCAATAAATCCTTCCTTATAGGTTATTCGGAAGTATGTAGTAATCCATAAGATATGTTTTGAAGAAATATAAAAACTCTATTTTTTTGTCAACTAAGATTGTTTATAACAAAACTTTCCAAGTTTAAAAACGGCTTATTTCGCGGATTTTCAGATTTAAAAACGACTGATTTCACGAATGTCCAGGTTTAGAATCGTCTAATTTTAATAAATTTCAATTTTAGTATCGGCTGAAATCAGCGGTTTAAGTTTTTATAAGTGGCAATATTTATGACCCTAAATATTTTCAAGAAAATAATTTGCAATAATCTCATTTTTCGTATGACGTTATTTTAGATTTTTATATTTTTCAATTATTTATTTTTTAATTTATAATATATTTTTAATGATTATTGATTTTAAATTCGGTAATTTTTAAACCGGTGACAATTTTATTGATGTTTTTTTTTTTTTTTAAAATTGTAGATTTTACGAATAAATTTATTTGCGAATTTCTTTATTTTTAACTACCTGTTTTTTTATTTTCCATATTTTACGAGACATTTAATTTATTTTAAATATTATTTACGTTTTTAACATTTAAGAAATATTATTTTTTACATTTAGTTTATATGTTACATATGGAAAAATTTATGATTTTCAAATTTTAGAGTTTAGGATCCTCCAAATTTAGAAGTGGCAATATAAATCCCTAAATATAGAAACTGACTCAAATTAATGAACGAGATTGTATAATCATATATAGTTATACATATAATTATATATAAAAAACGTTTACTGATAAAAAATTAATAATTTCAGCTGTGTGATTTTTCATGGAGTTTGTTGCACCGACAATTGGAATGCTGCGTTTGTAATTTCATCAACATAGATGGTACTCTGTTACTCACGGTAAATATAAATTAAAATTAATTTCTAATATTTTTTAGCATATGATATAATTAAAATAGTGAAAAACTTACTTCTCAAACTTTTGGTCTTCATAATTTGTTCACAGTTGTTGGATATGGTTGTGGAGTATACAATAGTGCTGATTGGATTCCGAATGAGTTAATCTATTTTTAATACAACATTTCAAATATTATATTGGATTTAATTGCTGATATTTGCAATCATTTTTGCTAATGATATATATTCTATACATACTTGATTAAATAATCATTATAATATATTTCTGCGACTATAATGCGTGTGTTTTTATTTAATAAAGTGATTTGAATAGATGATTTAATTACTATAATAAGTTGTAATTTCTTATTGTTTTGTAAAAAAAATAAATAAATATTGTGGTGTTTGAATATGAAGATACAAATAATTTATGGCGCATGCGCAAGCAAGTTAAATATTTTATAAATTTATAACCTAATAATTTTCTTATATAGATGTTGTTATATAGAAGCAAACATAATTTTATTATTCTTACTCAATGGAAGAATCAAATGACATTATTTCTAATGGCGAGAATAATTATGACATAATTATCATTGGTGGTGGATTGACGGGATTGACAGCTGGATACTATTTATTGAATAAAAATGTCAATCTTTCCGTGTTGATTATCGAAAGTCAAGGTTATGTTGATATTTTATTCAAAGGTTTATAATATCGAAATTAAAAAACAGATAATAATTAATTTTTACCTTAAATAGATAAAGTTGGAGGCCGCTGTAAAAATATTAATGGATTCTACGGCCATGAATTCCAAAAAAATTTTACAAATTTACTTGACAATCTGAATATACCAGTAATTAATGGACGGAAAAGTGATTTTGAGAAAATGATTTTGCGAATGAAAAGAAGAAAATTAGTTAATATTCATGAAGATTCTTCAATTATTTCTTCACAAGTCTGTTATTTTTTGAAATCGGTACACTACTTTCTACATTAATCATTTTTATTTGAGTTATAAATTAAAAACTATTTTATTTATTATTTTATGGAAAGATTGAAACATGTTGTAAAAAACCAGATTTTGAAGACTATTTAAAAGATGATGATGCCAAATATTTAGCTAGCTTAAGCGTTAGTGATTACATCGACAATTTGGTTTTTTCTTCAACTGCTAGATCCATTTGTCGTAGTTACATTTCAGCAATTTGCGGTATTATTAATCTGAAAAAAGTATCTTGTTTGTGGTTATTTGTTATGTTGAATAATTCTGGCGGATTTTTTCGACGGCTGAAGTATTTATTCAACAACAATACACGATTTTTTATTGAAGTATGTATAACTTATTGAATCAAAACTTTCTATTTTTAATTTATGTTGAATGTAATTTTTAGGGAGGCATTGCTCAAGTGATAAGTAGGTTAGAAAATGAAATTATTGAAGGAAACGGATTGATTAATTGTTCAGAGCATGTTGTTAAAATTAAACAAGGTGATATTGGTATTGAAATTACTACTTCATTAAAAACATATAAGTAATTACTTTTTGAATTCATAATTCTCGTACTATTTTTAGAATATTAATTAGAGGCTTTGAGTTGTAAATTTTTGTTACTTACGTTCTTTAACATGGCGGCGCGTAAAACTAAAAACGCTCACTTGAAGTTTTTGACGCCTCTTTTAAATTGTTTATGTTAATGAATTTATTTCAAATTATTTTATCAGATGAACAAAAAGTGAACAATTTTAATAAAAATATTTTCTTCTAAGATTTTTTGACAGTTTATTTCTGTTTTTTTTTTTTTTAGGTGTAATTACGTTGTTATTGCAGTACCACCACCAGAAAGTTCAAACATTATAATAGAATCAATGAATTATGATGAAAATTTGTTGAAATTCATTAAAATTCAATCTTTGTTCGTCTCTGAACCTTCAGTATATTTTGAAATAACCTACAAATCTCCATTCTGGGCATCAAATTACTCTGGAAGTATAATGACAATTCTAAGTAAAAAATTAAATCTTAAGTTTTGCTATGACGCGTCTCAGGAAGATTCAAATTTACTAGCCGGTTTTATAAACCACCCTGAAGCGTCATTTTTTGGCAAAATGAACTTATTTCAAGCGTTAAATCAATCTTTTTGTACTAACGAAGCTGATAAATACTTACACTATTGTGAAATGAACTGTACAATGAACATTCTGAAACCTTGCTCAGTGGCTAATCATCACAATCCCTTGACAAATCCAACGCAAAAGTATTCACACTTCTTTACAATCACATCTTTTTATTCTATTGGTAAAAAGTAAAATTTTCAGAATTTATTTCGCAGCTAGTGAGTACTCGAAATCTTATCCAGGCACTGCAGAGGGCGCAATTGCAGCTGGTAAACATGTGGCCTGTTTGTTATTGTATTATGCGCGTCCGCAAGCATTAGAGGTGTCGGAAATCATGAAATACATGTAAGTTTATTCTTTATTTATTTTTCTTAGGAAAACTTTTTTTGAATTCAATATTTTTTGTTTCAGACCGCGGAAAGATTGTCTTCAGAAGAAGAAATGCACTCAATTTAAATACATTCATTCAATCTTACTTTTTACAAATATTGCTATATTATTGACATTATTATGGAAAACTTATTCTTCGAAGAAATAAAATGAGTTAAATTATGATCATTATAATTTATTAACTAATCATCATGAGCATAACACATAACTTTGGTAAGTAGTATAAAATTACAAACAAAATCTAAGATATTTATAAATTATTGATTGAAATATACGGTAGTAATCCACGCCAAAAGAGTCAAACAAACTCCCAGTATCATAAACTTTAAAAAAATGTAATCATTCTTCTGACCTTGGTCCAAATTTTCGTCCGATTTAACACTTTTACGCCTGGGCTTGAACTTGCGTTCAAACTTTTCAATTTCTTTTCTATTTTTAATTTCTTCTTCCCGCTTCTTCTTCTCCAACTCAGCCTCCCTAAGTCTCTCCTTCTCAATCTTTAGCGCCTCGCAGTGGTCGTCGCACGCAACAACTGCATTGCCTTTCTGAACATCAACGCACATAAAGTTCTTCTTGATTCTCGTGCAAGAGCACGTAATCTTAACGCGTTTGTTGCAATTTTCTTTACTGCGACACGATCCAGGATGACAATTGTCAATACATCGATGCCCACAAGCATAATTTTTCGGGCACTGATTCCCGCACTTCAGTAGTTCATTCTTCTGATCAAGGGTGGCGCTAGTCAGCTCCGAGCAGCGTTTGTAGAGACTATTGATCCCACAATGACACGGAATTTTGACAATCTGTTTACAAGCTGGACAAGGCGCTGGATGACAAGGTTTCGGACATGCGTGGGAGCAACCTTGTGGTCTGGGTAACAAACAAGGAAGTTCACATTGCTTGCAAAGTTCATTGCTTCCAGGACCATCGTTCAATTTATGGCAAAGCAATTCACATGCATGGTTGCTGCATTTCAGCAACTGTCCGCACTCGCGTAAACAAGATGTCGGTACTGCTTTGTAGCACGGCCAGGGCTTTGTTTCATGGCCGCCAAGACAAGTCACCATCACAGAAACTTCACAAGGTGGACAGGGAAAAGTTTTTAGCTGCATAGCTTCTTTGGGAGTCTCCCAAGGACCAGCTGGTTGATGGGACCCATTTACAAGGACTTTGACCCAGACATTTTGGTGGCAAACTACTTTACAATCATGTCCGCATTTTTTGTACACCAAGCCGCATATTTTCCGACAAGGTGGGCAGGGGCCTTGGTGACACTTGTGGGATTCGCGTTTGGTGTGATGACAGTCGGGTGGAATTTTGCATAACTTTGTACATTTTGGTGGCTTGATTCGCTTTGTCGTTCCGCAAGGAACGGTAATTTGAGACCCGCCGCAGCGACATTGAATGACTACTGTTCTAGGACAAGGATAACAAGGTCCGCTGTGACACCGAGCCGGACATTTATGCTTTCTGCAGTTCAACAGATTGTCGCATGTTTTTTCACAAACGTTGTAATTGTTGGTCGCAATACAGTCGCAGCATTTTTTGTTGCACGGATGTCGGCCACATTGTCGAATTTGGGTGCATTTTTTGTTACAATGGAAGTCTTTTGTGCATGCTATCTCTTTGGTAAAGCTACCGCAGCGACATTGTTTGGTTACTACTTCTAGACACTGACCACAGGCATCAGGATGGCAGCGCATGTTGCAGAAGTGGGATTTGCAATCTAGTAGTTTGTTACAAGTGTCGCCACAGGTCGGTACAGTAGGTTGCGTACACGAAACTTGGTATCGCTTCTTTCCACACGGGCAAGTGCGGTTTTTAGCTAATGGACACTCACCACAGTCTGTGGGAAGATGGCAGAATCCAGAACACTTGTGAATTCGGCATGGTAATAATCTACCGCATAGTTTTTCGCAGTTCCATATAGATTCTCGGCACATTCGCGTGGCAATTTGGTCCGCGCAGTGACAGGGAACTGTTACCGAGTTGATACAAGGTGGACATGCTCCGGAATGACAAATTTCGGGACACTTATGCTTGCAAGGAAGATTTTTGGCGCACGGGCTTCCGCAGCTCCAGAATTTAGCGTTGCACCGTCGAGGTTGCGCACCTTTCTTTCCGCAGTAACAGCTGGTTGAAACCATTTTTGGACATGGTGGACATGGTCCTGGGTGACAGAGCAGAACGCATACGTGTCCGCATTCAGGCTGTAATAATTTACCGCAAGTTTCTTCACAAGAGTGAGGAATCATCCAGGGTTGGTAAGGCGGGTTTATCGTTTTACCGCAAAAGCAGAAGTAGTTTGTAGGCGCCTCGGATTCCGAATACTCTTGACGGCATTTTGGACTGGGGAAATAAATATTGTGGTAAATTAGAGAAATATAAATTTATTTAATTAGTTTTGAAAAGTTTCAAGTGAAAGTTTTTTATCATTTTGAGATTTGATAAACATAAAAATTTATCATTTTTTAAATTTCTTGTAAAAAATTGATTGTATTTAAGAAATAAAAAAAATTTAATGAAATTTCTTATGGATTTTAAATACAAAGTAATGAGTTTGGAGGTAAAAATAATTTTTTTTTTTCATGAGATTCACTTGAAATTCACTTCAATAAAAGAATTTAAGACCTAATTAAGAGATTATTTGTAATAAAATAGAAAATATCCAATTTAATCAATAAATTTTCACGTTGATTATCACTCAAGCACTATTTTCTTGAAAATATTAACGAAAAAATGATAACTTTGTCATGAACAAAAATAAAGTTAAATATCTTTGATATTTAAGATCAATAGTAAGAGAATTATTTCTCATTCATTATTGATCTTAAATATAAAAACATATCAAGTATTATTTAATTATTTATGTAAGTATGCTGAATTCATAGGCCTTGTTATCCATTTAAACGTAAAATATTCAATTTTATTTTTGTTTATAGTAAAAATGACAATTTTTTGTTAATATCTTATAAAAAAATTCCCTTCGAAAACAATAAACAAAAATTCATTTCTAAATATTTATAACGGAAAATTGATATTTTAAAAAAATTTTTCTATTTTTGACGAGTTTTAATAAAAAAAAATGTGATTAGAGTCATTTGGGGTAAATGTGCGCGGTGGGTAAGTGTGCGCAATCCCATGTATTTGGGACTCAAATGAATGGGTTTGCGCACGCTTACCCACTGCGCACATTTACCCCAAATGACTCTACTGAAAAAAAATTCTTCGGGTCATTCTTATAAATTGAAGTAAAGTATAAATTGAACAATTAATATTAAATCAAAGTTTTTAATTATATTAAATAAATAAATTTCGTGAGAAGCAATAAAATACGTTTTCAAAATTAATTATTCTTTATATAAATCGTTCGCGAAAATCGCAAGATTGTTGTTTGGAAAAAAAAAAAAATCAATAATTATCGATGACGTAAAACTATATACAAATTAAATTAATAGTAACCATAAAAATAATAATGAAACTAAAATTAGTCGATACTGAAAATTTTTTGATTTTTCTTAAAAAATAAAGTAGGTGTAGAAAATTATTTTTAAAAAATTGCATTTATAATTTTTCTGAGCTTCTAAATATGATATTTTTCAAATAAATTTTTCTTACTATAATTTATTTGATAAAAAAATTATCATGTCTCTCATCAATTACAGTATCATAAGAAAATAAATTTATTACCATGCCCATAATTTATCAATCCCTTTTTCATGCTTGTACATCAAGCTATCCCGTATCCAATGTTGAATACACATAAGATGCATGAATGAATAGCACGTTCCACAGCTCCATATCTAAAAAACAATTTTCATAATCAATCCCACTTACAATATTACAAAAAATACTCTAAAACATTTAACTTACAGGGTCAGATTTTTTGACAGTCGAAATGCAAATCAAGCAGACAGCTCCTCCAGATTGAAAGATTTCAGTCAAGTAGGACAAAGTTTTTTCGCCATCGCCACCCTCGCACTGATAAGACGACAGAGTTTTATTAACAGCTTGCTGCAGTCGTTCGCTGTTGTTATTAATTTTTTCTTCATCATCATCGTCGTCGTCGTCGTCACTTGATGATTCAATAGTATTTTTATTCAAGTACCGCTGGATTGACGCCTGGTTTTCAGCTTGCGCACGTTTAAATTTCTTCATTGTTTATTTATATTTATTTATTTATTTCAAAAAACACTACTGCCGGTCTAAGTTGGATTGCGCGATAAATTATTTATTTAGCGGTTAGGCTGTGATTGTAATGTTTTCGTTTAACGCAATTGATAACATTCATTCAATATCTCCAAATGAAAAAATATCCTTACTCTATCTAGCGGATAATTGAAGAACTAAATTAACATTTCTATTTGGAAGATAGTAAGTTACCGACTCATAAGTTTTGTAATAATAATAATCCACAGATTCGGTAGAATCTGGCGCCAAGTTCCGTTCAAATCCGTTGTCGACGGAGCGCCAGACTACCGACTGTGTTTACTGTAAGCAGAACGGTATTTTGAGGTTGCAAAATTTTATTTAATTCTACGGTACTTTTTTTTTCCTAAATTGTATATTATAACAGTAATTCATACTTTATTTTACTGTTATTAATTAATTATATTCACTTATAACAATTAATCTACTTGAAATTACTAAATTTGATCAGCACAAACTATAGCAACGCAAAAATTTCGCAAACATTCGATTGAAGAAAACAAAATAAACTACAAAAAACTTCGAGCAAAATCAAGAAATACATTGAAAAAGAGCAAAACAATGGCATGGAAAAATTATATCAGTGCACTAAACCCTCTAGTACCGTTAAAACAAATATGGAAGACTATAAAAAGAATTCAAGGCCCAAAAACAACATATTTTACCTCCACTATGATAAATGAAAATAACAAGGTCATCAACTCTATACCCGAGATAGCAAACTTACTAGCCAACACGTTTGCTTATAACTCTAGTGATAATATATACGAAGATGAATTTAAGGTTTATAAAGAAAGTACAGAAAGAGAAAACCCAATTGTTCTACGACTGGAAACAAATGAGAATTCTGAAATGAAATTATTAAACGAAGAGTACTCAATGGAAGAACTTACATTTGCTAAGTCCAATAGCCCAGGCCCAGACGAAATCCTATTAGTACTAATCAAACAAATATCACCTAAATGTAAACACCTATTACTAACTATATATAATAAATTGTGGACAACAAACTCATTCTCAAATATATGGAATAGTTCAATAGTCATCCCATTAGCTAAACCTAACAAAGATAAAACAAACCGTAGCAGCTATAGACCAATTGCTCTCACGTGTATTTTAGGAAAAATTATGGAAAAAATGGTGAATCGCCGACTAAAATGGTACTTGGAAAAAAATAACGTCCTGTCCCCATTCCAAAGCGGTTTTAGACAATTCAGATCTACTAATGACCATCTCGCATTACTGGAAAAATTCATATGCCAAACATTAGCTGAGAAAGAACATGCCATAATAGTAAGCCTTGACTTAGAGAAAGCTTATGAATGTACATGGAAACATAGAATTGTCATGCATTTAATCAATCTAGGATTCCAAGGACACATTATTGCATTCGTCATAAACTTTCTGAATATTCAACAATAAGAGTAAGAATAGGACAAACATTATCAAAATCACGTGAATTAATAAACGGAATACCTCAAGGAACGGTACTAGCAGTAACATTATTCCTCATCTCGATTAATGATGTAATAAGTGAAATAGAAAGACCTGCAATTGGAGCGTGGTTTGCTGACGATGGTGCTATAATGACTAGAGGTAAAAATATTAATACTTGTGTTGAAATTATACAAAGAGCACTAAACAAATTGAGAAGCTGGTGTAATAAGACTGGATACAAATTCTCACCGACAAAAACAGAATTTATGATATTCACACGATCAAGTAAAATTAAATTGGAAAATCCTAGTATATACATTGGAGAAAACAAAATAAGACAAGTAACGGAAATGAAAATATTAGGGTTAATTTTTGACACTAGTTTAAAATGGGACCTACATATAAAAGAGTTGCACAAGGAATGTAAAAGAAGGTTAAACATCATAAAAGTCCTCTCAGCAATTGAATGGGGAGCAGATAAAGATGTACTCATAAATACATATAAAGCAATTGTACAGTCCAAACTTGATTATGCCTCAATATTCTACATGTCTGCAAAAAAGAAACTACTTAAATCATTGGATACAATACAAATATCAGCCATTCGAATGTCTATTGGAGCTTTCAGAACTAGTCCGACAGAAAGCATTTTAGTTGAAGCAAATATTCCTCCCTTAGAACTACGCAGATACACTCTAGCAATAAATTATAGCAACAATAACAGAAACAAGATATGGAATGATAATGACTTAATATCATGGGAATTACTGCCTAAATAACTACAAATTTATAAACCACTCAAAGTCAGAGTTGAAAAATATAAACAATTATTGAATATACAAACATTCCAAGCCTTTGATAGAATAATTCCTTGCTTTGCTCCATGGAAAAAACAAACAATAATTATAGACTGGCACATAGCAGAATACACCGATGGTAAAAATATAACAATGCCCAAAATCTATGTGAGTCTATTTCAAGAAATGATTTCCAAATATAAAGATCATATAAAAATATACACAGACGGATCAGCAGGCATATCCAATTAAAGGATGTTCGGTCATATTCAACGACATTGAAGAAATGCACAAACTACCCTTAGCATACTCATCTTTTACATGTGAAGCTTATACGATCTACCAAGCAATGACACGTTTTATAAATTCCCCCTGCAACAAAGGTATTATAATGACAGATTCTAAATCCTCCTTAGAAGCTATTGCAAATCCAAACACCAAAAATCCAATGATAGTAAACATCCAAGAAGTCATACATAAATGTTCTATAAAAAACAAAGAAATTACCCTCATATGGATACCATCCCATGTTGGGATAACATGCAATGAAAAAGCAGACGAATTAGCTAAAACAGCAGCCCAATTATCAACATTATCAAATACTAAAGTCCCTCCAAAAGATTTAAATATCATGACGCATAAAAAAAGAGATGAATATTGGAATACAGTATGGTTAAATAAAAACCCATCTAAATTAAGGGAAATAAGACAAAATATTTGGCAAGTAACTCCACAATCGTTGAACAGAAATGACCAATGCATATTAACAAGATTAAGAATAGGACACACAAACTTCACACACAAATACTTAATGGAGCGACAACCACCCCCGAGATGTCAATTTTGTCAAACGGAGCAAGCTTCAGTAAAACACTGGTTGATACAATGCACAGACCTGGAGAACCTAAGAAGAACATTGAAGATTCCCGCATCACTGGAGGAATGTCTGAGCAGTATTAAAGAATTTTCAAAAGTAAAAAGATTCCTAGAAATTACCAAATTAATAAAAGACATTTAACATATTAGATACTAGCAATGTAAAAAATCTATATATATATATATATAATAATGTAAGGCGGTCACTAATGACCAAGTGGTTGAAGTGACCTTAAATATTAATAAAAAAAAAAAAAAAAAAAACATCTGCTTTGTAAATAATAGAGTTGTAACAATTTGCATCAACTTATATTGCTGTAGTGCGAATCTATAATCAGCATTTTATATGAAAAAGAGGTGTGGATTATACGAACCAATAGACATTTAATCAGAGGTGGAAATCGCCGCCCCCACTCATTGTCAGAACAACGCATGCGTTTCATATTCTTTTCTATTTTACAGTAAATCATTGTCACTGTTACTCTAACGAATGAAAGCAACTTGTTCTGTATATTATAAAGCTCATTGTAAAATATTCTTTCAACACATCACGTAAATTTTGACAAATTTTAAGTGATTGATCAACTACATCATAATGAATATGTCTAAGGTTCAGTTTCATAATTACTTCTTTTGTACAAGAAATTTTTGATAATTTTTAAGACTATTGATGTGAAAAAACAATTATAATAACACGCCATGTAATTATACAATCGATAGTGTACTAGTTCTCAGTCATGATACTTGTATCAAAGTTTTAACAAGTAATACAATCTTTTACACTAAATATGACGTTCAAATTATTCGGTTGTTGTATTTTTGTTTCATTATTTTTTGCTTACATTGTTTGTGTAGAAGATATCAAGATATCTTCAAAACAAACGGATCAGCGAATTAGCTTGGTGGTAAGTAAAAACAATAAATGTTTATTTTTGTAACTGTTTATTGAAGCTGATAATTACATTTTCAGAACGAATTGATGGAACAATGTTTTAATATTCAAGCGAGTATTTTGATAACTGATTCTCCGAGCAATTCGCTTGTTAATGAACTTTATGAAAGTATACCGCAATCTGTGTTATTTCTTAACAAATCAGCAAACTACAACATACCGACAAATCAAAATACGCCAGTTCCTTCGATTATTATGATATTGTCATCACCTGCAGCAATGGAACAGGTTCTTGTTAATGAAGCATGGCGAAATTTTAATCAATACTTCATAATTTTGGACGAAAATAATGGTAACGGATGCGTTAGTGCTCAATCATTTTTGATGGAAGCTTGGAAAAATGATATACTCAATGTTGTCTTCATTTGCTTGGATCATCAGAATCAAATTCCGACGATTTATAGCTTTAATCCTTTTACGAGTTCCGCCCCAATGTCTTGGATGAAGATTTCAGTGGTCTCGGCAATCAATAATCATTCGTGGACTTTGTTCAGTCAAAACTATATTGCTGGTAAAATAAAAATCTTCTTAATTCATCTGCACTGAAAATTGAACTGTGTGTGAAATATCTAATTCAATTGCAAGCTTACCCGTAATTTTAAATGTTATTTTTTTTAGGTGACACTTTATGCTCAGACTTATTTTATAAAAAAACTGGAAATCTTGGTGGGTACGAATTTGATGTACTTGTTGATTATAAAGAACCATATATATGGTATACCATTAATAACGGAGTCATAAATTTTGAAGGCTTTGATTATGAAATAATGAAGTTACTCGTATCAAAACTTAACATGATATTACAAGTTTTTTTCGTAACTCGGAACGAGAGTAGCTGTTACTTTAGGATTATTTTTTTCGAGGGGGGGTATAGTTTGGGAGTAAACTCTATTCGTATGAATGTTCCTAACACACTTGGAGAAATGACACACCCATTTTATCAAGCAGGATTCAGTGTAATTACTCGATCTAGGGAATTAAAAGGGCTTCAGGAATATTTATTCGATTTCTTACCTTTATCTATTGTTTTATCATTTTTCATCATAAGTGTTGTAATTTTCATACTCTTACGTTACTTATTGAGAGATCCATATTCGCGAAATTTTATTGACATTATACTATTTTTTCTAAATCTCTCATTGCCCAGATTACCGGTCACTATTCGGGGAAGAGTATTGTTTGGTGCAACATTTTTGAGTTTTACATTTGCAAATATTTTTATTCAAGCAAACATGAGTACAGTTCTTTCGTCATTCAACATGGCTCGGAACGTAGAAAAAATTGAAGATTTGAAGGAATTAAACTACAACATTTTATCGGATCGTCTTAATGAAGCTTTTCTGACTGATTTAGGTTCTAAAAATATTGATAAAATTTTCAATATCTCAAGCTGTTCTCAGCTTCAGGAAAACGAGGCGTTTGCTGAAATAGAAATGTTGCTTCATCCATTAGTAACTGAAAACTGTTACATGCCGAAGAAGCCACTTATCCCCGAAAAGCACTATTGTTACATAACTCAACGTAATTGGCCGATATTCCCTGAAATGAACGAAAAATTATTGATGTTAATTGAGGGTGGATTGAATGATTATTATATTAAAAAAGTTTTATCAAGATATCAACATTCGAAACATCAAGAGCCCGAGCAATATCAAGTAATAATAATGGATCACATGAAGTATTATTTTTATGGGTTTATTATCCTCAGCTTAAATTCGACTATTGTTTTTTGTGTCGAGTTATTCGTCGCGCGGCAATCGCGCTTAATTAACATTTCTGATTAATACTTGATTAATTTGTCTTAGGTGTTTGATAGAATAATTGTTTTAACTTTGTGTGTGATGTTTGAAAAATAGTCAACATTAGTTAAATTATTCACTTATCGATTTGCCAGTCCACATAAAAGTTTCTTGAGTGAGAAATCTAGTTCAATCATGAATATTTGATTGTATTTTTCCGATTGCATGAGTGACTAGTAGCAGCAAATTGTGTAATCAGCTTCAAGCTTTCAGTGACGATATTAGTGAGCGTTGACGTGTTGAAACAATAACAAGTCAATAAGAATGTTCTGCCGAGTTTTTTTATTTTCATTAATACTCATTCATTACCTCTATGCATGTGATATTGGAAGACCTATGAGAAAAAAGAATGATGATCTTAACTTACTGGTAATTTCTCAATCATTTTTACTCAATACTTTCCTTAAGTTTTTTAATAACTGTTGATCCGATTTGTAGACAGAACTCATCAGTAGCTGCTACCCCGATGTGAAAGCAAGCATCGTCATTGCTAATCTATTGACAGATCCGAGATCTGAAAATATTTATAATCAAATAACCGGATCAGTGACACTGTTTGAGAATTCAACAAACTACAGCATACCGGCAAATCAAATTACGCCAGTTCTTTTGATTATTATGATATTGACATCACCAGTCGAAATGAAACAGATCCTTGTTAATCAAACGTGGCGGAACTTTGATCAATCTTTCATAATTCTAGACGGAAACAATGACAACGGATGCGTTAATGCCCAATCGTTTTTGATGGAAGCTTGGAAAAATGATATACTCAATGTTGTCTTTATTTGTTTGGATCATCAGAATCAAGTTCCAAAGATTTATAGCTTCAATCCATTTACGGACTTCGCATCGACGTCTTGGGAAAGAGTTTCAGTGGTTCCGGCAATCAACAATCATCCTTGGACCTTGATTGTCCAGAGTTACAGTCAAAGTAAGTAAATGTTTATTTTTTCGATACAAGTGGTTGGATCAAACTACACATCTCAAGATATAATTTTGAACAAATTTTTTTTAGTTTCATCCAAGTTTATATTAGTAGATATAATTATGCATTTATTTAATTTAGAAGTAAAATTATTAAGGCAAGAAAATGATTCTGAGAAGTTTTATCGTTTTGATTTAATTATTAAATCTTACTTGATTCAAGAATTTTTCGTCTTGATTAAAGAAATTATGTAATTTCTTTAAAATGATTTTCTTAGTTCAAAAACTCTTTTTTTTTTCCCCTTTCCCAAATTAGTCTTTAAAAAAAAATTACTTATTAAACAAAATATATCATTATTTTTCGGGTACTGCACAGAAAGAATATTGATTTGAGAATTACACCACAAGTGATAGGGGAGAAAGGGGTCAATTGAACCATGGGGCAATTGAACCACTCAACTTAAAAAATCGAAAAAATTGAAAAAAAGCTTCATGCTCTTAGAATTAGATTCTAATATATGTTAAACTCGGATATGATCAAAATTTGAAATCATTGCGATTAATAAATTTTGAAAAATTGAGATTTTCTTACTTTTAGGCATGTAAACTTTTTTTTGGCCTTGTGACAAATTGTTTAATAATATTTCAATTTTCTAATTAATTGATAAAATTTGAATTGTAGTAGTTGTGTATACTTATACTTTATAATCCTCAACTTTGTTTATAGTGATATAATAGTTTATTTATTTATTATTTACTATTAATTGTTTTAAAATTATATGGGGTCAATTGAACCAGCAGTCCCGGGGACGATTGAACCATACGGAGAAGCATGGGACATGCGCGCGCATCTCAACTCTGCGTGAAAAATACTCAGGGAAATAACCTAACAATTTGATGAACTGAATTTATAATGAAAATTATTTTTAAATTGATTTTTAATTTTTTAATACAATATCTGTGCATTAAAAATGTGCAATAGTAACAATTAATATGTTATTTTTTAAAAGTTCGGGTTTGAGTTTTAAATACTTTTGGTTCAATTGCCCCCAAGCGGGGGTCAATTAAACCATTCGACGCGTTTAGATAAATTAATAATTTGTAAAAAAAGTTTGGAAAATCCAAATGAGCATGCCTTAAGCGCTCATGTCATACATAAATTATTTAGATCATAACAAAAATTATTAGTTTTTAATTTGAATTTTCCCGCGAGTAGTATTATCCCCTCTGTCGGTCGAACTAAAGACAAATTTCAACAGATGATAAAATAGTTAGTAATTATACCATCATGTATGTATACCCTCATAGCCAAACCGGTCGCAACTTTCCGTTGATTTGCTGCAGCAACTTGTCACCAAGTTGGCGGCAAGTCTTGGAAATGAACTCGGTTGTTCACCAAGTTGTCGCCAAGTTGTCGGCAGAAATTGCTTTCGAAACTCTTTCGCACCAAGTTGACGACAAGTTTCTCGAGAAATTTGGCGACATATTGCGGCAGTAGATTGGTCTTGTTTTTCTCAGAAACTTGTAGCCAACTTGACGCCAACAGTTTCAAATTCGGAAGTTGACCGCAAGTTGTCGGTAAGTTGGTGGCAACTATCTGACACCAACTTGGTTGGTCTGAAACTGTAGCTATCAGGGTAGTTTCTGCTTGTTTATAGTTATTTCAATTCTGTTTATGAAAAATAATATATATGGCTGCCAAAATCGCAGAAAAAGTCACTGAACTGACAATCGAAAAAAATTAACTGTATCGAAACGGAATTATTTTGACACGCAATTTTCACAAGGGTTTTGATAAACTTCCTCAGGAATAAAACAAAAAAAAAATGGCCATTCGGCAGCCAAAATGGGAGTAGATTTCATGATGAATAGAAAAAAAAACTACTAGGATAGTATACAAAAAAAAAAAAAAACTAAAACGGCTGCAACAGTAAAACTGTTTCATTAAACGAACTCTAAAAGGAGTAATATTTAGGCTATTACCACTTCTGAGTAGTGAAAATTGAAGCTTATTAAAAGAGCTTTACGATGCATTTTACAGAATTTTGATATCTTGTATACTTCAGTAATTATACCAAGTTGAAGTAGTAAAAACATCAATTATTACGATTTTCAAAATTTCGAAATCCTGTCATTTCCAATTTACTCGCCCAATTAAGCTCATCTTCGAACTTAACCTTGATCTTGATTGATAGATAAAGCATGTTGAGTTTGAGAAGAATCGGTTATAAATTGAAAACGTTATCGTGATGACAAGCCGCGTTATATCGTATAAATATATATATAATCAAAAACGTCTCTCATAATTTTTTCAAATTTTTTTA